AGCAGTAGTGGTAGTAGTAGGAGTAGTAGTAGTAGTAGTAGTAGTAGTAGTTGCAGTAGTAGTAGTAGTAGTAGTAGTAGTAGTAGTAGTAGTAGTAGTAGTGGTGGTAGTAGCAGTAGTAGGAGTAGTAGGAGTAGTAGTAGGAGTAGTAGGAGTAGTAGTAGGAGTAGTAGGAGTAGTAGGAGCAGCAGTAGCAGGTAGCAGGTATTAGCAGTAGTCGCAGTAGTAGTAGCAAGAGGAGGACGAGGAGGAACAGGAGGAGGGAGAGGAGGAGGAAGAATCGCGGTGGGAGTAGAAGTAGCAGCAGCCATAGTAGCGGTAGATCGTGGTAGTGATTTGCCAGTAGTCAGTATAGTCTTGTGTTGTTGCAAGGGCAGCATTCGAAGCAACTGCGAAATGCAGTAGCCGCAATTTGCCGACGACTGATTTCTCCAACAGCTACTAATACTCCTACTGCTACACCAACACAAGGCCTAAAACTAAGGAAACCCGCATCTCACATTACCGGCAAAGGCGTCATCTTACAAAGCGAACTGAGAAGTTTCAGCAGGTTTGACATTGGTGCAAGCTTGATCTGTTACCCCGATGGCACTCGGCTTGCAAACCTTCCGCTGAACTGGAAAGAGGGCCCTGGGTGTATCAGCTCCCGATCCTCGAGCTCTTCATCAGGCACCACGGTCTCGACCTCGTGGGTCACACCTGCATTTTTGGATAGCATGCTGGGCCGCTAGAAGCTACCACACTGCAGATGCTGTTAAACTCATGACAGCGATGCTGGGGATGCTATGTTGCTGATGGTCATGTTGATGATTCTTGGCCGCGCCTGGTCACAATGTCCAAGACTTTTCGACTCCTGCCTAGCTGACTGTGAAAATACGGAAGTTCAGACCAGACACAGAAGTAAACCCCTCCCCATCATGTATAAACACCCCCCTAATAATAAACCACACATTGGGCCCAATCCTCCCGAAATCATCCTGGCCTTCTAAAACCTATTCTGAATTAGGAGGGAGGGTTTCGAGGTTCCAACTATTCTTAGAGAGCAAGAGCAGGAGCAAGAGCAAAAGCGGCAGCATCAGCAAGAGCAAAGCAAGAGCAAGAGCGGGAGTAAGAGCAAGCGCAGGAGCAAAAGCGGTAGCAACAGCAAGAGCAGGAGCAGGGGCAAGAGACGCAGCAGAAGCTGGAGCAAACGCCATCGCGAGAGCAAGAGCCAGAGCAGGAGCAAGAACACGTCCCCTCAAAAGTGGCAGTAGAGATTCAACTACCTCCTAATAATGAAAACAGTGTTCGAGTATCTGCTATGGGGGGGCCCCCCCACCCGTTCCATATTAGGGGAAAAGCATTATCAGCGATCGGCATGTGGCTTACAAAAGATTTTTCCGACGGACTTGTGAAGTTGAAGTCCAGACGCCGAGCATGTCTTCGGACTTGCCGGAACGAACCGTGCGACCGTTTCGGACAGGAAACCCCAAAGCAGACAATTGGAATAGGGTTTGGGGTACAAGACACTGGAATATACGACCTGGGGCCTCTCAAAGGATACAATTGCGCCAACATATATATATATATATATATATATATATATCACAACTATATATTGATTCCCCCATATTGCCCGCTTGCCTTCTGCAGCTTCAATGGCCTGCACAGGCAAGTAAAGAAGTGATTGGCATCGTGACAAGAACAAGCCCACAGCCACAGCTTCAATGACACCTGTACTTGCAGCGGTTCTTGCTACGTGATCCGCTTGTTAAAGTAGCGGCTATCTGACTGTCAAATCTTTTTATCCTCCCAGCCTGCCGAGCTGTAAACTCCTGACACCTGCGCCCTGTATCATGAACCTGCTCGAGGACCCCCAGCCCTAACAACAAAGCGCACCAAAGTCTAGACAGCGTCTACACCACTGCATTTCGTAGCTCATAGAGGGGCCTGGGTCGGGCTGTATAGGTACTGCATGCAGGCCTCCAGTACTGTTTCGTCCTTGTCCTGTACCAAGGACTCCGCAGCCTTCGTTGCAGAAGTTGCTCCTGCTTTCGCATGATAAAGAGGGGCTGACGAATCATAATGGGATAAACAGGGGCTAAGGGAACACAAGGAGATACTAGCAGTGTTGATTTTGACCATTTTGTTCGGGCTGGTGCCTACAAAAGGGTCTATGGGACACTGTTCAAAAACATTGAACTTCCTTTCCTTCACAATTCAAGCCCCGCGGCCGAAAGCCTGCACTGCCTCAACCTGCCGATGACTTAGTCACGAACCGTGAGCCTTCCTTGGAACTGCGGTCGATGCTCCAAGAGCAGCTGTTGATTTTGCTTGTATATATGTAGATATACGTATAGACGTATAAAAGTGTATGTGTGTATATGTAAAAATCTGTACTTATGTAGTAGATATATGCGAATGAGTGAGTGTGTGTCCGTAGTTGTGAGTGTGCGTCTGCAAGATGTGCACACCTGTATAGTCATACATGATGAGATGTATTGTTCTAGACTCGTACACATTGGAATCGGGAAATCCAGAAACATACGTACAAATATGCACAACATAATCCCGCAAAGCCTGGTAATCGCACAACTTCTACCGGACCTGCGTCCTGCATTCAAGATGGCAGAAACCAGTTGGGCAGTTATTACCTGTCATGTTGTAGTCGCTATACCGTGGTACGCAACTTGCTCCACCTCCCTGCTGAAGGCAAACTGGGAATTGACGCAGTTCTAACGACTGTGTTAGATGACATGAAACACGGTACGAAATATACAATAATACATATGTGTTTACATATCTATATACATACACACTCGCACATACATACATACATACATACATACATGCATGCATACATACATACATACATATATATATATATATACAACTATTTATACATGTACATAGCTATATATATATACAAATATATATATATATATATACATATGTACATATATGTATGTATATATATATATATATGATACCCCCGCGGTGCCTACTTCTTTGGTGTGTTTTGGCATTACTATAGGCCTGAACTTGTTGTGGTGGCTCTTGGGGAGATGCCCTATAAACCCTAGGCAGCCATATCTAGAGAAACAATGCTATGGGTTCCAAATAGGCCCCAACTCTACTTCATGTAAACCATGCCAAAGAACTTATGACCCTTGGTCCGCGAAAATCGGGGCCGATTCAAGTTGAATTGGCCCGATTCAATTGGAATCGGCCGCCGGATTGAGCATTGCAGATCCTGGAAGAAGTTCTTCCGGGGTCTTGAATCTTCAATCCGGCCCTCGATTCAAGTTGAGTCGGTTCAACCAACTTGAAACGGCTGCACCAAATATTATTACACAACAGCACCTCTATAAGCAGTTTGTAGTTCTCAGTCTTGCGGTCTCCACGGTATGCGCGTTACTTCGTGTTTACATGTGGGCTGAGGAACGGCGGACATTCCCACTCCATTATCCTATGCACTGAGCGGCGCCCTAGTGTTGATGGACAAAACCTGCATTGCATTTATCTATATACTTGTTTTGAATAGGCTTATGATGGGGTTTTGCTGAATAAATATTATGTAAAGGCTGTACTGCGGAATACCCTAATTAAGCTCGAAACATATTCTATATGAGACCTAACCCCAACAGTCCATGCACCCTATCTAGGTAACTACTTTATAGGGTCAAGGCATATCGTATTTGGGCACAACCCCCCCCCCCCCTGCACTTCAAACTCCTGACTGGCTTCTTCGCGGTTTCTTCAATGTATTTCAATGTTGTCGACAGTTTAGGAACGTCCGAGCTTGCGTCGCTAAAGGACCAACTTACCCTTAACACGAGGAGGCCCTATACCCCTACACGCGATCCTGTTAGAGTCCCTTTCGTCTTTAGGTTCCGGATACAAAAAGGCTTTGCTAGTTTTGAATAGGATTTGGGTCTATCCTGCTATCCCTGTGGTCGAAGAACCGACCATTTCAGTTTTCAGGGTTCCTTATTGTGGTGTATGTATATAACTTTTATATAACTCCTTAAGAACGGCGGTTCTTTGGGGCATGGGTATTCTTACATGTGCTACAGGGCATCTTAGTACAAAAGCCCATGACCAAAGGTGGCAGTTTTAGAACATAGTACAGGAACTCGGTTCGGAAGCGTTGCGTCTTTTTTAAGGTTATTTGTAATATTTTGGAGGTTATAGGACCAGGGTTGTTAATCACCTTCCTACGGTATCCAATAGATGGTGCGTCTTAGTGATCAGAATCGGGTTACTGGACATACAACAGTATAGTACGGGGACTGTAAATGAAAGTTATTGCTAAAAATTCAAACCGCTGTACGTAAGTCCTTCGTTCCAACTATAGACACTGCAACAATGACGAAAATCTTGCTCTTGTATTTCAAAATTACAGAGGAACCTCACCCAAACAAAAAAAACAACAGGGATAACGCTGTACGACTCGAGGACCTGGTCATGGTCTAAAGCTGTTATAAAGCCCCTACAGATCAAATAAGGCAGCCCAGTGTAGTCAACCTACACCTGTGTCTCATCTACGTCTGCGTCTGCTCTGTCTGCAGTGAATGTAGCGCGTTTTCCTAGGTGACAAATACTGGCACGACAATGACGCAGCAGACGCTCGTGAATGTAGGTGGCAACGGCTCATTGGCACAATCATGGTG